GGAGGGTAGAGAGGAGGGCCTTCTGGGCCAAAGAACCCTCAAACACTTTAGGCTGGTCCTGCCCCGTGCAACGGGGACCGTGTCTGTTCAGTTTGCTTTATACATAAAGCCAGCTAGCAACAGTGGCTCTGGAATGACACACTGAGTCAGCACAGAGAAGTTAGAGCTGGGGATTTACACTTTCCCATAGATGTAAATGTTTAAATACATCTTACACTGTTGGCATGTTGTTGGTTTACAAATTTAAAATTAATTGGGACAGGGATGCGTGGGTGGCTCAGTCGGTTGAGCCTCTGACTCTTGCTTTTGGCTCAGGTCGTGATCTTGGGGTCATGGGATGGAGCCCCACGTCAGGCTCTGCACCAGGCGTGGAGCCTGCTTAAGATTCTCTCTCTCGACGATGGCCTCTGAAAAACAAACTGAGGGTTCTAGAGGGGAGGGGGGTGGGGGGGATGGGTTAGCCTGGTGATGGGTATTAAAGAGGGCACATACTGCATGGAGCACTGGGTGTTATACACAAACAATGAATCATGGAACACTACATCAAAAGCTAATGATGTAATGTATGGTGATTAACATAACAATAAAAATGGGGAAAAAATGAAAAAAAAAAGATTCTCTTTCTCTCCTTCAGCCCCTCCCCCTGCTTGCTCATACGTGTGCGCGCGCGCTCTCTCTCTCTCTCTCAGAATAAAAGTAAAATAAAATTAATTGGGTCCAATAGACCGTGTTTCTGGGCAGATTAAGAGCCCAGAGAAGCAGAGGCATGCCTTCTCTGTGGTAAGGGCTTCCCTGCAGGAGTTTAAAAGCAATCTTACCAAGATAGCCCAGAAATGTTCTTCCTACAGAAAAAATAAATTCAGAGTGTATTTTTAACTTTGGTCTCATAAAAGCCCAGAGTTAAATTTAGCAAGGGTTCAACTTACAAGGGATCAGGGATAAGTTTTTGGTGAAACCTATGCTATCTTGCTTTGAATTGCATTTATTTTTTTTTAATATTATAAAAAAGTAGTTACTGTTTAGGGTTTGACTTTATAGTTGTCTTACTAATGAGTTCTATTTTTGTAGCAAAATACATAAAATGAGTTAATGAAGAAAGAATGTGAAGGGATCCTAGGTTGCGTCCAGCTGTGACCCCTGCGGGGCTTCTGTGGCGTCCAGGTGTGTCTCATGAGCGTGTGGGGTGGACCCAACGGTGTGTATTTACGGGGAGGACCAGACGCTCTCCTGGAGGGGGGCTCAGCATAAGCCCAAATAATGGTTAAGCAAAGAAGAGTGGCTCCATTTAAAAAACTGTCATCAGAAGGGAGCGAGAGGCCAGAAGCCATATGGTGGCTCTTACCAGAAACTGCACGGGGTTCCTAGCCTCCCCTTTCCCTCTCCCGAGACTCATGCCTCGAACCTGGGGCATTCTGGGGCTGCACATCAACACTGAAAGATCTGTTTCGCCAGACTTCACCTAAGACAACAGGGTGTTAGGTCCCCCTGCCTTGTCGCCCCTTCTGGGAGAATTTCGCAGAGGAGCCTTTAGAGCGGACCAGGGACCATGGCGTGCTTTGGGCACCGTGAGGGCTCCTCGGTGGCAGCAGCAGGCAGATAGGTGTGTGGCCATATCCCACAAAAGCCCTGGGGCTGCAGTAGTGCCTTCAAGAAAGCACCAGGGCTCCTCAGAGCGCAGCCAGCTGAGGAAGCGGCCCACCTACTGGGGCCGGGGGAGGTGGGGGGGGTTGCAGGAGGGCAGCACCACCCACAGGGCACCTGTGAGCACTCACCGCAGCAGGGGCCCTGCCAGAGCACGCAGGCAGCCCCGTCAACCACAAAGGGAGAGACTCCCAAGGGCCTGACTCCATTGTCCCACTGAACCGGAATCTCCTATCCCCTAGCATTCTGGACGTCCCCCCACGCGTGTGTGTGGTAGGGGAGGCGAGTGACGCAGCCTTCGAACCCCTTCCCTGTGCACTGTCTCTGTTCCCCTGTCCCAAGGTCAAACGTGAGGGACATGCGTGGGAAAAGTCTCCACTGGTGAAATAAATTAGCTTGCGCCCATCTGTTGGAATGCCATGCACTGAATAAAAACAGTGATATAGAGCTACCTTTAGTGACACAGAAATATGTTTGTAATATAGAGCAGAGTAAATAAAAGCGGATTACAGATTGTGGGGGCGATTCCTCAACTGTATGCATTTGTCAACACTCGCGAAGCTGTTTATCACAAGAAGTTAATTCCACCGTGCGTAAATTACACCTCAGAAAGAGCAGACTATAAAATGATATTTGCGGAAGGATCCACTTTGTGTGTGCAGGTGTGTGTGCAGGGGCAGGGCTCTGCACCCAATGTTAATGTGGGCTACCTCTATTATAATTACAGACGACTTGCACTTATTGTTTCCTCTTTTTGCTTAATTGTCTTTTCAAATTTTTCTCAGATGAATAGGGATTGCTTTACTATTTTAAACTATGACCAGGGGAGCACAAAAGAATATTCATGTTCAGGGAACAGCTAACCCGGAGTAATGAGGGGAAGGGTGGTTGTGCTTCCCTCTGTGTATCACGGGAGTTCCAACAGGAGGCTGGTTATAGGAGGAGCCCGCAGTAGATGCTCCGTAGATGTTTGTCACATGAGTGAGTGATTAGAGTGGGTCATTTTATCACAAGTCTCTAGTTTAATAATAACCATGCCACTCTTGCTTTAGATGCAATGTATTAGCAGTGCACACTCATAAATATTTTCATCTCCATTAGAGTGACAGCCAACTAATTGCTTTTAAACCAAACAGTTACTGTAGGCACAAAGCGGACCTCTTTCCTTTTAACTTTCCTCTTCTTATCCTCACCCCATCTCCTCCTTTATTAATTTAGATTGGGAAATAAATAACCACAAATGTCTTGGTTTCACATAATTGTTAGGAAGACAGCTTAGGTGTACCAAGTAGAAAGGCAGAAAACAAAACAGGAGAACCAGTATTTTTCCACAGACCTGGTGGCAGCCTCCTTTGTTGAGAAATAGCCAGAAAAACAGCCACAAGACCAGTCTTCTGTCTTCAGAAGACACTGCTTGCTTAGTGTGTGAGACAGGAGCAGCCCCTTCCTGGAAACCTGCTGGCTTGATAGTTAGCCTGGGGGTTGGTGAGGAGCAGAGGAGGTGGGTATGTGTGTAAGCGTGTGTGTGTGTGTGTGTTTGTGTGTGTGTGATGGGGGAAGGTGGATATGGTGTGTGTGGTGTGATGTGTGTGGTGTTGGGGGGTGTGTTGGGAGTGTGTGTATATGTGGTGGGGGTGGGGGTGGTGTGTTTCTGTTAGGCACCACATGGATATGATCAAGATTACATTTTTGGATACATAGAATTTGGGGTCCAGCTCAGAAAGCTCATGAACATATTAAAACACTGGGGGTATTTAATGTAACAACTAAACCAGTTCTAGTTTTTTCTAACAGCTGCTAAAACCTTACACACGGTTTAGACCCAGAAAGGTTTTTAAACCATATACTTTAGTTCACTCATTTTGCAAGTGAGAGAATTGCAGCCTAGAGAGTAGAAGAGGGCTGCCCAACATCACACGGGGACCTGGCAACACTGCCTGTTGGAATGTTGAACAGGACCAGGCCTTTGGAGACAATGTCCATGTGCTTCTGAATAAAGTTGGGGACATCCCTGAGCACCTGCTCTGAACAGTGCATTCCTCCCGAAAGGCCTTCAGCAATCACGTTTCTCTTTGAGCTTTCCCTTTGCAGATGTAGCCAAGTTAGGGCCCCCAGGCCTGGTCAGGCCCCATTTGCTAAATAAGGGCATTACCTGCAGAGAAAGAGTCCTCATCAAAGGCATGTTAGTGACAAGCCAGAGGATTTGAGGACCAAGAATGGATCCTGCTAACACCATGAGTAAAGGGAAACCTGCTGTAAAACCAAGCAACCATAGAGTGGACATTAAGTTGGGAAAGCCAGAAACAGGCCTTTTGTGCATTAAGCCAATGATTCCTCACTCTGGAACCCCAGCCACACTCTTTGTGCTTACAGCCTCCTTCAACCAGTGACTCTGCAGCCTCGTCTCTGTTGGTTTCCCACCATGCCGTTCTCTTCCACACCTCTGTGCCTTTGCACAGCCTGGGTCCTCCACCAGGTGCACTGTTTCCCACATCATCCATCTGGGTGAACTCCCCCTTGAAAACAGCTCAGCCGTCACCCTCTTTGGGGAGGACCTGTCGCTTCCCCCCTACCCAGCAGAGTTGGCGCCTCCTTCCCTCCAGCCTCCCACAGACCCCCCTGCAGGTTTGGTGGTGTCATTTTGCCTGCCTGGAGTTCCTTGAAGGAAGGACTCATCCTGTTCATCTCCAAAACCTAAGCTTTAGGCCTGCAGTAGATGTTGGCTGTCCACAGATAAAAGGCGCATTTGTTGTCTGTTGCTAAAGAAAAAATCACCCCAAGTTAGCAGCTCAAAATAATACAGAACTCACAGTTTCTGTTGGGGGCAGAGTGCTGGCACGGTTTAACTGGGTCCTCTACTTAAGGTCTCACGAGACGAAAATCCAGGTGTGTCATCCAGGCCACATCCTCATCCAGAGACTCAACTGGGGAAGAATTGCTTTCAAATTCACTTAGGTTGTTGGTAGAATTCATTTCCTTGTGGTTGTAGGACTGAGGACCCAGCTTCTTGCTGGATGTCAGCCCCTTGCCATGCAAGCTTCCTGACAAGGCTTCTTCCTTCATCAATCCCACAGTCTCCCAAGCAAGACTGCCAGCAAAACAGTCTTAGATAATGTTACATAGTCGCTGAAGGGACATCCTCTTACCCTCATCATATTTCATTGATTAGAACCAAGTGATATGTCCCACCCACAGCAAGGGAAGAGGATTCTACAAAGACACAAAGCGAGGAATCGAGGAATCGTGGGGGACCATCCTAGAGTCTGCCCACCACACAAAGAATACAGTAAATCCTGCTGCTAAATTCTTTACTTTGTTACAATTTTCCTTTTATTCCTCCTTCGGGTTCTCTCTTGCAGGTGGCTTCACTGCTATTGGCAGATCACTTCTGGAAGAAGGTGCAGCTCCAGTGGCCCCAGGTTCTGGGAAAGGAGAATCCATTCAACTCTCAGATTGAACAGGTGTTTGGAGACCAAGGGGGCCACTGAGTGCCTCCAGGATATGCACTCCTGGAAAGCTCAGGGAGGCAAGAACTTGGCTAAATTCATTCAACAAATGGTTATGGGGCTGCCATTTTGCAGGCCCATAGGACCCTCTTTAGCAGCAACTTTGCAAAGTGCTTTTCTCTCATTCTGGAGTCTGAATGACAGCGTGATTCTGAGTGTTTCAGGGAGCAGTTCCCTCCGTTTGTCCTTCAAATCACCTTTAATAAAGTGTTGTGGATGCCATTCCAAGCAGAGAGATAATCTGTGCCCTTTAATAGCTAATTGTTCTAAAAACAAATTCAAAGTCCAGCAATGCTCGGCAACTTAGCCAGGGTCTTGGTGCGCCAGGACTGAGCCTCAGTCTGTTGCTGCTTCTCTAAGATGGCCAGAAAGCTGGGACTGCCCCTGTAAAGGCTGTCGGCTGGCTGCCAAGGATTCTCACAAGAGAACACAAAACTAGGAACACAAAATTAGGTACAAACTTGAATGTCTGTTTAGAACAAGAAAAGAAATCACAACAAATGACAAATTCTTTAAAGTTGACAAATAGCATAAGCCCCACAAAATCCCGATGATTGAAAAAAACATGACAATTTGTCTTTCTTTAAAAGGTTTTCTGACATTCTTTGGCTGCATAATCTCATCATCTTTTCCTTTAACAATGATTTGGTGATATCATGGTCTACAGAAAGGACAGAAAAGTAAAATGTGTTGCTTTTTATTGATAATTTAGAAGAGTTTCTTTCAGCTGCATAACTCGTTGGTAAAGTCATGTGAATTTTTAGAATTGTTGTCAAATTGGGAGGACCTCTATCAAATCTCTTTTGAGTGAGAGTTATTAGAGACGCGCTCCCTATTTGGAGTATTTTTAATGTTTTGTGTGCATATAAGCTCGGGAATTCTGGTAAGTTCTATTGCACACCATTCTCATTGGTATGTCACCTCCCTTGCCCTTCTCTGAGGCAGCCACGGATTTTGGGGGTCAGTGGGTGTATGCCCAGACCCACATCGCGTTGCCAGCACCCCACCTTACATGGGCACATCTTCCTACAGTCTGCCCTCAGGAGCTTGCTTGACACAGCCCAGAGGTGTGGAGCCATTCCACCCCAGGGGCCCCAGGAGCCGGTGAATAAATGCACCAGCCTCTTCCTTTCATGGTCAGTTTGGGGAAGGCATTCAGTGTGCTTCTCAGGGGCAGAATCAGCCCCTTTGTTCATGGCAACAATACCTTCCATGGTGCTTCCTTCTGCTCTGTGTCACTCTCCTTGGCCCCTCATTCCTGCTCTCTGGGATGCTTCCCAAATAAACCACCTGCACCTAAGTCTTTGTCTCAATAAAGACAAAATTAAAATGATGGTGTGTGCATAATTGTGTAGGCTTTATTATTGGACATATTCCTGATATGAAGATACTTCTGTTTCAACTAGGCACCAATGCAAACCAAACCACCCACTCATGTACACCGTCCATTGCCATGGACCAGCTTCTGGCTTTGTGCATTTTAAACCTTGTTTCTCCTCTGTGATACACTGCTTCCCACGCTGGGAGCTTAGGATACTTTCATACTGTGATCTGCCCATTGTAACCATGCTGATGAACAGTAGGAGCATGCCTGGAAGTCACCCAGCTGTGCACAGAAATGACTGCAAACTACATAATATTTCCACGTAATCCCACCCTAAATGCCCCAAAATTCTCATGGCTAGCCCACAGCTACCGGATAGAAAAGCAAGTACTCAGAGAAAAAGCAATGTGTTTAAAATATCCAACTTTTGGGGCGCCTGGGTGGCTCAGTTGTTAAGCGACTGCCTTCGGCTCAGGTCACGATCCTGGAGTCCCGGGATCGAGTCCCGCATTGGGCTCCCTGCTCGGCAGGGGGTCTGCTTCTCCCTCTGACCCTCTTCCCTCTCGTGCTGTCTCTCATTCTCTCTCTCTCAAATAAATAAATAAAATCTTTTAAAAAAATAAAATAAAATAAAAAATAAATAAAAAAATAAAATATCCAACTTTTGGAAATTTTAGAAAACGTGTGACCATGTGAACGCATTGCTTGGGCCCCTTCCAAGGCTTTGGAAGGGACCCTAAAGTTAATCTGTTTTAGACTTATGGTCAATCCACCTCGGCTGACAAAATTAATTTGCCAGATTGTGTGTGAGTTCCGTTTTTTAGGGGCCAAAACACTTAAAATGTTGTCGACCCATTAATTTCTGTCACCTGGAAAGAACCCTTGCTTCAGCATGACCAGGACATGGCCCGGGGTGGTGACTCAGCAGGGGACCAACATGCCATCAGGAGGCTGCTTGTTTCCAGCAGGAAATACAAATGAGGAGAGTGAATTGGAGAATATGAGGTGTGGAGGTGTGGGACTATGGAAATCTGGTATGTCTGTCTCCTCCTGAGCGATGTGTCCACTAACAGGGTCTTGGTAAATACATTACTGGTTTTGGTGTTCCAATATCTCATGTTATGTTTAAGCACCAAAATACCAATACTTGTCATAGTGTTGTTTTATTGTTGTTTTTTTTTGAATCTGAAATCATAATCATTTAGTCTCAAGACATACCCAGAGAACACTGCACTAAAATTTTGTATTCCTTTAGAAAGAATTCTATTTATTTAATCCTCACTCTGTTTAAGATGCTTTCAAGTTACTTTATTGCTATTCTAATTTCTACTTCCCAGACTACTTGTGAAGCTGATAATCTCGTATTCCTTTTGCTGTTGTTGGGGGATAGAGAATTCATTTTAGGCCCAGTCATTTTCCAGAAGACCCTGAGGGACTAGAGTTGTTTTCAAAGTGTGGAGTGTATAGGGAGATTCAGAAAGTACAGGGAAGGGTTTCCCAGACTGAATCATCCTGAGACCAACCACCTCCATTCTCCCCCCCAGAAGTCATCTCTGTCCTGGCCACTTTTCCCTGTTCATATTCTCTTAGGGATGAAAATCCCCACGTTGGGGAATAGTTTCACCAGTATCATATTTCTCCTCCCCTACTTGAACAAGTTCAGGTGGGGAGGCCGATAGGCCCTCACCCTGAGCCCTGACCTCACTCCTGGGGCATGGCATCCCAAAATCGAAGGATGGGAGAGGATGGTGCTCCCATCTCATTTTTTTTTTTTTTAATAAAACACCAATAGTGCACAAAGTAAGTACTAAATACCACTATTGTCTCCTCAAGAACTGGAGTCCAAGGCCAGGCCTTCACCCCAGGGCCAGGAGCCCCTGGGTGAGGCGAGTCCACTTCTGCCTCCATCTTTACACTCCACACCAATCCAGACACGTTCCTTCTTTGAGATTCAACCACATCTTTCTCTCTGGCTTAGGGATGTTCTGTCCCTATAAGGTGCTTTGTGTACTTCTCATAACGTCCACGTGTCCAGAATTTACAAGATAGCGGACCGGGACAGCTTTTATCTTGGATTTCTGCACTGGTGGTTCTTGAGAGCCTGTCTTCAGCCTCCACGTTTTCAGAATCATAGCATGTGAGTGCTAGCCTCTGAGAGGCACATGATGGACTTTTCTAGGGGGACTCACATCCCTCTCCATCTCCTTCCCCCATTCCTGCAGTGGCCTCCTGATGAGATGCACCAGAAGAGATGCTCCAGGAGATAAGAACCTGGCCAGTCATGTTCCCTCCTATATCCACAGCCTTACAACAATGCCTGGCCAACAAGAGATGCTCAGTAAGTAGTACTGAGTGGTAAGTGAATGAATGAATGAGACACTAGTGTTGCCTTCCAAGTCATACTTCATTATTTCTTGCTATTTAAAAACCAAAAGAGGAGCCTCTTTTTTGACACATTTAATTTAGCCCTATTGGAGCATACTTGTGAAGTGAGAGGGTAAAAAGAAAAGCAATTAATAAGAAGATGCCTTCCTCCCAGATACCCTTGGTTCGGAGGCTTGGGCTCCTCTGTAATCTTCATCTAAACACCCAACACTCTATTGTCATTGGTTTCTCCTATTTTCAGATTAAAGACCTGTCTAGTCCTTTGCTATTGAAATAGAGCTCTTCATTTTCCATATGAACTATTATTAAGAATTTCTATTCTTTCCACCACCACTCCTGGGCATTTTTCATCTGGGATAGAGCCTTTTGGGCTCAGACCTTGCTGAAAAAATATTTCCAGGGCCTGCAGCCAAAGGAGATCAGCTAAAAATCTTTATATGCAACTTGTAATCACACACAACAGAGTAGGACCTAAGCCCCAGGAAATTGCACTCCTTCCCCACCCAACTTTCTCACCAAGTTAAACCCACTAGAAAAGGGATTCTTAACTAAAGCCCATGGGGACCTTACTCCCCCAGGATTAAGAACACCTATGAACCTCAATGGGGAAAAAATTGTATTCAAGACCCCCTAAAACAGCATTTCCTTTTATTATGAATGTAGGCAACAGAACAGCTGTATTTCTGTCACAAATATTTATATATCACATTACATTTGCTGCAGATACAGTTAATTCAATTATTATTCATAGGAGTTATGTTCCATTAAGTCATCCTGAACACTGAATTAGCAAATACTGAACCACTGCTCCTAGAGGACATAAAGGGTTATGTTCCTGCGAGCCTCTCGTCATAACACTATCGTTCAAGCAATCAATACATGACCTTGTTTCATGTGTGGTTTTGTTTAAAGACATCTGTTTAATTTATAGTTGATTAATTAACCTAGAATTCATAGCCAACAGCACTTTAACTCCCATCCAAATGAAGATTATCTACACATCTATTTTCTCTATAAGGCACATCACAGCCTTCTTGCACTTATGAACCCCAGATGATACTTCAGCACTGCACTTGCATTTTAAATAATGAAATCACCAACAAAAAGCATAAAACTGCCCAAAACATGACAGTAAATATACTATGAAAAGGATACTTATTTACACTGTAAAAGCTGAACTAAGAAGACAGAGCACTGCCTTATTCAACCTCAGCTGGGAACATACAAGTCAGGGGCCTGAAATTTTCCCTATTCAAATTACTGCAAAAGTGCCATGGGTACTTATTTGGGGGTTACAAATAAATTTTAGCAGGTAGGCAAATTCACAAATACAGAATCCTGAATAATGAAGATTGACCATTTTTTTTAAAGATTTTATTTATTTATTTGAGAGAGAGAGAGCCCAAGTAGGGGAAGGGGCAGGAGAGAGAGAGAAGCAGACTCCCCACTGATCAGGGACCCCAATGCAGGACTCGATCCCAGGATCCTGGGATCATGACTTGAGCAGAAGGCTGCTGCTTAACTGACTGAGCCACCCAGGTCCCCTGAGGATTGACCATTTCT